CCACAACATCTCCAAGGTATGCCTGTATGTAGGTTAAAACTACAAAGATGGAAAAAGATATTCCACATAAACATTAATCAAAGAAAGTATGAGTGGCCACATTGCTATCAGAAAAAGCAAACTTTATAGCAAAGAAAGTTACCACTAACAGAGAAGGACATCAAATAATGATCAAGGGTCAATCCACCAAGAAGACATAGCAATTCTGAATGTGTACGTACCGAAGAAGAGTGCTGAAAAATACATGAAGCAAGAACTGAAAGGAGAAACAGACAAGGCCACAGTTACAGCTGCAGACTTCAACACCTTCTCTCAACAACTGATGGCACAAGCAGAAAGAAACTCAGCAAGAATACAGAATTCAACAACACTGTCAACCTGCAGGATCCAACCAACACGAAGAGAGCTCTCCACCCAACAAGCAGAACACACACTGCGTTCAAGTGCACATGGGACCAAAATAACCCTAACACTAGACCGTAATACAAGGCTCAACAAGCTTAGAGAACTGAAACCATACAGACTATGCTTTCGGACTACAATGGAATTAACCCAGAAATCAACAGATGGGTAACGAGAAGACTCCCCCGAACACTTGGAAACTAAACAACACAGTTCTGAATAATCTGTGGATCAAAGAGAAAGGCTCAGGGCAACTAAAACTACATGAACAGGATGAAATGAAAATACAAAATATTAAAATGTGTGGAACGTAACTAAAGCAGTGCAAGAGGAAAAAATTTAGAAAAGAGAAGTCTCAAATCAACAATCTAAGTTCCCACCTTAAGAACCAGAAAAAGAGAAAAATAAACCCAAAGCAAGCAAATCAAAGGAAATAAAGAGTAGAAACTAATGAAATGTAAAACAAAAAATAGAGAAAAATCAACAAATCAAGAAGCCAATTCATCAAAAGTTAAAACTTCTGCTCAGCAAACGACCCTGTGAAGAAGATGAAAAGACAAACTACGTGATGGGAGAAATTACCTGCAAACCACACATCTGACAAAGGACTCATATCTAATACACACCAAGAACTCTCAAAATAACAGAATTATAGAGATGGAAACAGGTGAGTGGGTGTCAGAGGTCAGGATCGGTGGAGGAGAGGCGGGTGTGTGTAATTATAAAGAAATAACACGGGAAGATCTTGGTGGCGATGAGATAGCTCTGTATCTTGACTGCAGTGGTGGTTACAGGAGTCCACACAGGAGGAAATGATGGAGAACTGCACTTACATTGTACTGATGTCAAACTCCTGGTTATGATGTTGTACTATAATTGTGTAAGATGTAACTTTTGGAGGAAACAGGAAGAAGGGCACATAGAACTCTCTTAACTCTCTGTACAACTTCCTGTGACTCGATAATTATTTCAAAATAAAATATTTTAAAGACAAAATAGTTTGTAAATGATTTAAACAAATTAAAAAATAAAACACC